AGAAGGGAAGGAAATCCAGAGGGGCCCGTGGGCGGGGCCTTGGGCGGGGCCTTGGGCGGGGCCTTGGGCGGGGCCTTGGGCGGGGCCTCCCAAGGCTGCACCGATAAGAACCAACGTGTTCCAAGTCTGCACTTCCCGTCCCATCCGGTCAGAGGGGCTCCCAACCCGGATCAGTGCATATGCAGAGGCACATGTAGACTTCAACTTCCTCTTCATCCTTTTCTTTCTAAACCATTCCTGGTGGTCCAGCAGAAACAATCCGGAATTCTAACAAGGGAAAGAGAAATCCGTTTTGGTTTAAAAATGTAATGGCTGCCCGGCTACTCAAAGGCATTTAGTAGTATGCTAGCGCCACCTGCCGGACAAGCCACCAAGTACATGTCTTTGTTTTGAGGAAGTTGTCACCAAGCTCTTGTTGAAACTGCATGCCTGACCTATGGACACCTTGTGGCCCTTTGACCAGACATCCCCATTTTGGGGTGGATCAACTCAGACTCAATGACCAACAAGGTGAAAAGAGCCCAGCTGCCCTCTGTTCAAAAGGAAACGGCATTTTTAGGAGTCAGTTGGCCTGGCCCTATCAACATCACAGGTTCACATGAAAAAGTGACAGCAATCCCTTTAGGGGAAACAGTACCCTCACCATGTCCCTAGAGCAAAGCCACTGACTCATTGAGGTCCTCGATTCACAAAAACTCCCCTAAATTCCTGGGCCTAGTGCACTGGTGGTTTGGCAAAGTCAATGACGTCAGTGACACTTGCAGAAAGTGACCATGATTATTCGCTCAGGGGACAGAGCTCACCACAGTCCTAATCACCTTGGCTAGTATCCCCTTTGGTAAACATTGCTACATCTGGCCCGCTATGGGGAAGACCCTGGACTGGCAGATTAAAGACTCTGCCTTGTGAGGCAGCAAACCGTGGGAACAAATCGCCCCTGCTGATGGGACAGTTGTGTCACTGATACAGATGTACTCAGTAAGAATTCTCTTGACAAGACTAACTGGAATCTAGTTGCTAATCAGGCTGGAACTGCCCAGATCACAGCCATAGCTCGCCTGGTTCCACTCGCAGACTCCAGGTGGCCTTGAGCCAGGCAGGGGGATGCTGGAGAACAAACACCGAGAAGCCACTGGTGCTGGTGTGTTTCAGATTCTGCTCTTCTTCCCCATCCACCTGCTACTGCGTACTTTAGTCCTCAGAGAGCTGCTCCATGCATGTCCTGGGTGTACAGACAGGGGGCAGTGTGCTTTCCCCATCTCACCCAGAACCAGGACCAAGGGAAGGATGTGAACAAGTGGAGATGAGAGGAAAGGGCAGTCCCAAGGAGCCCCAGGTCCAGGGAAAAGGCACAGAGCTGGGAACACAGCAGCTCTGGGGACAAGAACAGCCCATCCATCTGGGTCCTGAGCTCTAAAGAGCAGCAGGAGAAAAATCTGGCAGAGGGCTTGGCTTGAGAGGGGGCCCAAGTGAGGAGTGTAGACTTTGCTGGGCCTCAGTCATGGGAGTCACTGAGAGGATGCAAGTCGAGAGAGAAAGCTGGGCTTCGGGCCCTGTTTGTGCAGTGTTGTTCCCCCTGCCTGGAACATTTCTCCTTCTCCTCTTCACTCAACCATCTCTTTCTCGTTCTTCAGGTCTCAGCTTAAATCTCACCTCAGGGAAGTCTACCGGGTCACTCCCACCCAGCCAGCTCAGACCACGGTCCCACAGAACACCGTACTTTTCCCTCTTTAATTGTTAACTGAGTCTTTGGCAGTTGTTTAATTCACACCAGTGTCCCCTGCGAGACTGAGAATATGAGGGCAGTGTTCACATATAGCTTGTTCATTGCTAAGGTCAGTCAGTCAGCAAACTTGTAGGGAGAACCTGTTCCATGCCCACCATTACTTTGGGCTCCGACAGACCTAAGACTAAGGTTATTAGCCTGATGCCTGCACTAATGCTGGTGCCCAGTGTTAACTGGCTGCCTGCACAAAGGTTGGTCTGGCTGCCAGGGATGTGTGTGGAATGGAGGGAGAGGGGGCAGGAGGCAGAGAGGCCAGGCCAGGACCTGCTATAATAGCCCAAGGGAGGTCCCAACCAGGCTCTAGTCTGGGCCTGATGGGCAGGGCTGAGCTCAAGAGTGGAAACAGATCTCCAGACCGTTTTGAGACCCTAGAGATCAGGGAGTCCTGACTGGGGACATTTGATGCTGGCCCATCTCCAGCAGGCTGCAGTGAGCCAGGCTGCATGGTGCTTTCTGGCAGTTCCTGGGGCGCTGTCAGGACTGGCGGGAGGAAGGGGGCTGAGCACCTGCTGAGCTAGGCCCAGAGGGAAGGCTCTACATCATTATTTCCAAGGCCTGTGGCCAATGAGGCTTGAGCCCAGAGAGCCCCAAGGCTTGCTCCGAGGCCCTGACTTGGGGAAGTGACAGGGCCAGGACAGGGAGCCTGGGCTTGTTTGCTTTCAAGGTCCCTGACCTCTGTGCTCCTCAAGGACCACCTGGGGGAAGGGGGTCTGGATAGGAAGACCCCCTCAGCCTCAGCCAGCTCCTTCATCATCCTCTGTCTTCCGTACCCAAACTTCCTCAGGCTGTGACCTTGGAACAAAGGAACCAACAATGAAAATGGGGTCTGCAGACCACCTGGCTTTGCCCCAGGTGGCCTCCTCCTGCCACCTCTGTGCACAGCACTGCAAGAGAATCCTCTGGGGCCCCTCATTACAGGCCCCTGCAGGGGCTCTGTGCCAACAGTCAGCTCCAAGGGCCCTGGGCTTCGTACTGATCCCCAGAGACACTGTGGGCGGGTGGGGTGAAGGCCTCCTTCTCTCTCTCAGGATCAGGGTTTTATCCACAGATCAGCAGAGCCCCAGATGAGCCTCTCAACCACCTGGAGTCTCAGGTTTCTAATATTTTTGTTTGTTTGTTTTTCATTCTCTCTTTAGTAATAGCTTTATTGAGGTATAAAAGTCATCCATTTTAAGTATACAGTTCAGTGGTTTTTAGTAAATTTAGAGCTGTACAACCATCACTACAGTCCAGTTTTAGAACATTTCCATGTCTCCAAGATTTCCTGTGCTAAGAGAATTTAAAAAAATTTTTTTTTTTTTTTTTTTTGTATTTTTTTCTCTTTTTAAAAAAACAAGACAAAATTACTTTGGACAATCTAGGAAATAATATAAAAGCAGAAGGAAGAAAATAAAAGTTGTCTTTATTCCACAACCTATAGATAATCATTGCTATCTTGGCATATATTTAACCCCTCTTTATTTATTTACCTATTTATTCATATCTTGGGATGGTACTACTTAGGGTTTGCTGAGAAGTCAATTATATCTGGACACACAGCAGCTGCATAATAATTTTAAAATGGCAAGGAAGATCTTTTTTTATCTTACTGATTTTAAAGAACTTGACTGAAGTTTTGACTCCTGAATCAGTGTTCTTTCTAATCTTGAAAGTAGGGGGTTGGCCTAGACAAGCCTGCCCTGTGGCGTGCATAGGTATTTCCCCCAGAGGGCGCTCTGCTCACAGGATCTGGTACACTCTTGACTGCATCCCTGACTGGAGTCACCTCTGGGGAGAAAGACTCAGAGAAACAAGAGGCTTGCCTCAATTTGTCTTTTCCCAGACCTGTGTAACTGGGACGCCTATTTTCCATAGAACACCTTTAAGGTTCATGGAACCCAGACTGAGAAACTCCTGAATGACCTTTTTCATTTTAGCCTAAGTAGTAGGTGCCCAATATATATGTTCACTAAACAAATGAAGGCCTGAATGGGGTTGTGCCCCTCCCTCCACTCACCATCTTGGCCTCTTCAGGCCCACTGTCCTTCCCAGCACCCTGCTCTGTCCCCCAGCTCTGGCTCCTCTGGTCTGAAGTGCCTGCTCCCTGGGGCCTCTGCACAAGCTGCACTGAGCCTGACCCACACTCACCTCCCCAGCAGCCCAGACCAGCTGCCCATTTTTAAGGTTGGGATTAAAAAGGGGTGGAGAGTCCAATTTCCGTAAGAACAGGGCATGGTGAATGCCATCAAGACGGGTTAAATGCATTTCTTGAGGAGCTACTTTGTGTCAGGCACTGTGTGGTCACTTTGGGGCATGTTTTCTGCTCTAAGAAGTTCTCAGTACTTTGGGGTACATTATTTGATCCAGGAATGACATTGGCCCCCATCTGTTTGCCCGGCTCTGGCTCACAGAGTACTTCTGTAGATAAACCAGACCTGGGCCTCATTCCCCAGCTCCCTCCCACCTCAGTCGGTGCACCATGAGCTTAGGGGCAGAGGTGGCCAGCGACTCGGCTCCTGTGGACTGGCCCCGCCCTGCCGTGCCCCGTGCCTAAGTCTCTCATCCTAGCCCTGCTCAGTGGACAGCACCTTTCACAAAAGCTGGCTTCCTCTGGCAGCTCTGACTCCTTGCATCTTATAGTTAAAAATAGGTGCAGAACCTTAAAACCCCCTGCCTTGAGGTTTCAGAGGTCATTCTAGTTGTTTCAGTAGATATTTGTTCTAAAGATCTGCACTATCTGGCCATGCCTGTCAACAATTAAAGCCAGGTACTCCCTGGCAAATTCATTCCTTCTAGAAGCAAATTATTTCACAGACTCCAATCAAGTAAATTGCTTATTCCCAGCGCTTTGGGAGGCATTGGGGGGGGGGGGGGTGTATTACTCTGAAGACAGATGATCTGCACTGTGAGAATCCAAGATATTGCCAAGGTGACAAGCAACATGCAACTTGAGAGGCTGCCTGAGACTCTCCCATTCACCTAGAAGGGTGATGAGACCGGGGTGTCCAGGGTTAACTAAGAGCTGTAGGTTTTCCTCAGGGTGTGGTCCCCAGCTGGCCAAATTCTGTTGGTTCCTTTCAGCTGAGGGTTCTCAAACATAGGGAAAACTGTATGTTTTAATGGCAACTATGAATTGTGTAGATCACACACTTTGTGTTATCTGATTCTGGCCTTTTATTGCCTGAGTGCTGTTTTAGAACTGCAAGTTGTAGATGACTGATAGCAGTGCACTTGATTCTTATCCACAGACATCAGTGAATTTTCTGGAGGGACAACTGTCTCCCTATGTGGAAAAGCCAATTTTGGATTCACTTGCAAGTCCACTCCAGTATTCTTAAGGTATACATGTACCTGTTCTTTGGATTCTCCTTTAAACGGTTTGTAATATCCTATAGGTTTCCTCATTAACAATGAGTCAAATAAAATCTTTCACATGTATTCATTTTATATCTATTAGAGCCAGAGTTTTACCTTTTGTTGATAATTATAGCACAAACTTTAGTTCATTGGAGTCAACCCCAGAACTTCTCACACATTAGGTCTGGTGTGGGGCCCGATAATTTGATTTCTAACAAGCACATGGGTTACACTTTGAGAACTCTGATTTGGCTTCCCCCAAGGACATCCTGGTGGTGACAAGGGATCAGTTGTGGGGAGAAATGAGGTGTCTAACCTTGGGATGTGCAGGGTGCCTCCCAGAACCCCACCGAGACTCCATTTCACAGAAACCAATGGAGAGGAACCCACGTTGGGGGGAGAGCGACCACCGGGCCAACGCTCTGTCCCCAGTGCCCTGGCCCAGCTGTGTGCTTCCATCCTTGTGTAACTACCACCTGTGCCCCTTAAGGCCCAGATGTTCGGAGGTGGACATGTGCCCCAGGAGGAGTGGGAGAGTCGGATCACCCCCTGGCCACCTTGCCTGGATGTCCTTGCTCTTCCTCAGGGCAGTGCCAGTCTCCATGCAGCCCCCCCTCGAGCTAGGGGGCACATCGGGTTGAGCTGGTCTCTAGGACCTGCGACCCAGGGAGGGGCAGGGGGGTATCGTTAGTGGATGAGGCATTAATGAGAATTGGGGTTTGGCTGATAGGTAGCTTGAGCAGGACTCTAAGGAGGAGTCTGAGAGGAGAGGCCTCAGCACCTGGGGAACCCAGGTGTTTCTCATCTTGGGACTCCCCGTCCAGGTGATCTCTCGAGATCCCGCGAGAACTGGCTTTCTCTGGGAGGAGTGGTGGAGGCAGCAGCGCCGGTCCGGGAGTCCACGTTTCTCTGAGCCTCCCCCGATGCTCGGCGCTGGGTGGAGAGCGAGCAGAGCCCGAGCTGTGCCGCAGGGGAGCAGGAGGAGGCGCTGGCAGCCAGGGTCCCTCGGCGAGGTCGAGACGCTTCGCAGGCCGGAGGAACGACTGGCCCCAGGGATGTGGTGAGTACATGGAGTGTGTGTGTCCATGTTTGTTTATGTTTTTGTTGTTTTTTCCTAAAACCTATGCATGAAGTTCACTAAACTGAGCAAACTTTGGTCGGGCTGGATGGGTAGTCCAAGGTGCATATGCGTTCGCACCAGCTGTAGCCTGCGCACTGGTTAGCCGCCTTGGCTTCTGAGGGTAAGGGCTGGGCGATTTTTGTTGGTTGGTTGGTTGTTTTTGGTTCCGTTTTGTTTGTTTGTTTGTTTGCTTGCTTTAACCCAGCTTGTGCTGTGATAAAGTGGGGATTAGCTGTGGTGGAGGCTGTCCAGGGCTGACAGCACAGGGTTTATCTGGTGGGCTCCCATTCAGTTCCTGTGCTGGCTCGACACATTTTCTGATTTAAGAATGTACCTTCCTGTGGCCTTTGACCAGGCTAAAGGTAGGTTTGGTGCCCCGGGAGCCTGTGCTGGTAGCTGGGGGTCCCCAGGGCTCTGGCCATCCTGGGAAGTGATAAGACTCCTGGTCTTACAGGTGAGGGTCTCTCCCCGGATGGGGCCTCCAATGGTCCCATCCTTGCACCTCGTTGACACAGAATACATCCCTTGCTTGCAGAGCCCCTGGGATGAGCCTCATTCCCTGCAAGGCTCCTCGGATGAGCCACTGTCACAATGTGTCTCTAACCGTTGGGTTGGGGGAAGTTTCAAAGAGAATTTGAGTTTGTTTCATAGGTGGCAAGAGCCAGACTCCACACTGAAGTCTGGGTAAAGGTGACAGAACACTTGGTTGGCTCGCTGTCCATTGGTGCTGCTGTTGTCCATTCTTGCTCAGAGATGGCAGGTTGAGAGGTCATCTTGTTGACACGGTTGTAGTGAAGTTGTTTTGATATGGTCTCCTGAGATTAGCAGATGTGGGTGAAGGTGGAAGGGCAAGGATGGGAGGGGGTAGAACTCTTTAGAGGTGACACAAGCAACTCAAATGGGCAAGTGGGCATCAAACACTGAGATTAATTATCTGAGTGGGATGGGGAGGTGTCCATAGACTTACAGGCAAATAATTATTATAATTATGATTATTATAAATACTAATTTATCCATATAAATTAAGAACCTTAAATAGAAAACATAGACAATCACACATTATACATTTATGTAAAAAGTAAACAAACATGTAATTAGAAAAAACAAACAAGAAAAATTACCCAACCCAAATAATAGAGAAAAAAATAACAACAATTGATAAAACAATTAGAAAATTAGCCAGGATGTAGAATTCAACATCATCATCAACCAACAGAATCGAATTAACATTTTTAGAACAGTCTGCCCAACAACATACATTCTTTTCAAGTGCCTATTGAGCATTTACCAAGATAGATCATATCTTGGGTCATAGAGTAAATTACAACAAATTTAAAAGAATGGAAGTCATACAGATTGTGTTTTTTAAACCACAGTGGATTCAAACTAGAAATCAGTAACAGAAAATAAATAAAAAAGTCTTCAAACACTTGGAAACTAAGCGACACACCTCTAAATAATCTGTGGGCCAAAAAGGAAGTCTCAAGGGCAATTAAAAATAAAATTAATTAAATGACAGTGAAAATACAAACATATTAAAATGTGAGACACAGCCAAAGTAGTACTGAGAGGGAAATTCGTAGCACCAAACACTTACATAAGAAAGAAAGTTTCAAATCAATGTAAACGCCCACCTTGAGAAACTAGACCAAAATAAGCTGAAAGCAAGCAGAACAGAGGAAATAAAGATGAGGACAGAAATCAATAAAACTGAAAACAAAAGTAATAGAAGAGACTCAATGAAACCAAAACAGACTCTTTGAAAAGATCAATAATATTGGCAAACCTCTAGCAAGAGTGACAAATTTTTAAAAAGAGAGAGAGAAGAAAAATTAACCAGTATCAGGAATGAAACAGAAACTATCACTACAGACCCTGCAAACATTAAAAGGACAATAAGGGAGTACAACACACTACTCTATACACAAAAGTTTGACAACTTAGATGAAGTGAATCAATTCCTTGAAAAATACAAACTACCAAATTTGCCCCGTATGAAATAGATAATTAGTCCTACAATTATTAGAGATATTGAATCTGTAGTTTAAAATCCTGTAAAAGAAATTTCCAGGTTAAAATGGCTTCACTGGATAATTCTACCGAACATCTGAAGAATTCTATTCTAATGCTGTACAGGCTCTTTCAGGAACACATCTCAGCCCTTTTTATGAAGTCAGCATTATCCTTCTACCAAACTACACAATGATAGTACAAAAAAGAAATGTACTAGCCAGTATCCCTTGTGAATACAGATGCAAAAACTCTCACCCAAACATTAGCAAACAGAAGTTATCAGTCTATAAAGTAATTATACACCATGACTAAGTGGGGTTTATTCCACAGGTGCAATGCTAGTTCATTATTTGAAAATAAATCAATGTAATTCACCATTGTAAGTTGCTGCTGTAACAAATGAACACAAACTAGTAGCTTAAAAACACAAACTTGTTTTAGCATTCTACAAGTCTAAAGTTTCACTGGCCTAAAATCAGGGTATCAGTAGGGCTCTGTTCTTTTCTGGAGACTTTAGGGGAGAATCTGTTTCCAGCTTCTGGAGGCCTCTGGCATTCTGGGGCTCGGGGCCTCCTTTCATCTTCAGAGCCAGCAAAGGCCACTTGAGTCTTTGCTTTTGTTTTTTTGTTTTTTACATCACATCACTCTAGCACTGACTCTTCTGTTACGTGTAAGGATACCTGTGACTGCTTTGGAACCACCCAGATAATCCAGGATAATTTTCCCATCTCAAAGTCAGCTGATTAGCAATCTTATTTCCATCTACAACCTTAATTCTCCTTTGCCAAATAACCTAATATATGCATAGGTTCCAGGGATGAGGACATGACCATCTTTGGGAGCCATTATGCTGCCTATAACATCTGACCCCCTGCCTGCTTCCTGGCCCTGTCTTGGGCCCTTTTCCTTCTCCCAGCTATTCCCTGGCCAGACTGCCTGCTACTGTGTCAGCTTGCTGACCTCGTGTCCATCCCAGGGCCATTGCCCTCGTTGCGTCCCCCACCCCCACTGCGCAACTGCCCATGGCCTGCTCTTTGGTACCTTTCAGGCTCTGGTCAGCTATCCCTTCCTCAGGGAGGCTGTCCACCTGTTGTAGAATGGCTCCCTCCCCTCTGTCACTTTGTCAGCTGCTGTAGTTGTCTGTAAGGCACGTTCTTTATTGTTTACTTGTTTTTTTTAATCTGTCTCTCTGTCCCTGCCCCCCTCATTCTGAGTTATTGAATGGTACGGGATATAGAGGAGGCTCTCAGTCTATAGTTGATGAATTAATGGACAAATAAATGACAATCATCTGCAAATAAGGGCAACAAATTATTGTTCTTGATATTTTTTTGTCTCTCCTTTCTGTTTCATTTCCTAATGCATTGCCCAGAACTTCCTGAACACTGTTAAGGGGTAATGATGCTTACAGGCATCCTTGTTTTGTTTGATTTAAATAGCATAGTCTCTAGGGGTTTCTGTCTAAATAGAACTTTCACTTTTGGTTTGAAATATTAAAGTACAAGAATACTTGAGATATATATATATATATAGATAGATAGATATAGATATAGATATATAGATGTATATATCACATGCTTTTGCAACAAGTTTTTACTAGTAATGTTTTACCAAACAGCTACTGGTCAGATACATGTATAGATTTTTCTCTTGAACCTTAGTTATATTTTGAGACAATCCCAACTTGGTTGCAGTGAATTGTATTTTTAATCCAATGTTGAATTCTCTCTGTTAATATTATATCTAGGGGTCTTGAGTCTGCAATCATAAGGGAGACTGCGACTCTTCTTTTCCCTCCTTAGTTCCTCTGTCTCAGGCCAGCTCTAGGTCCCCTCCACTGCCTGTAGTCTGCTCATCAGCCTTCCTTGGAAGGCCCCAGGTTCAGGCAGTCAGGTGGCCTGGGCTAAGTAACAGTGGAATTACTGAAGAGTAAATCTCTGCTGTTTCTTTTCACTTTTTGCAGTTATACACGTCTCTTCAGGAGAATCAGATTGAGTCATACATTGGGTAAAGGACCAGATTTCTATTCTCCGTCTGGTCCGGCACACGGCTGGGTGCAGCGGCCCCCACCACAGGTATCAGCTCAGCAGAGGCACATGGCGAAAGCAGCAGAAGGGGAAATGGTTTGTTCATGCCATCCGTCAAAGTGTTGTAACTCTCCAGAGAAGCAGGCATTTTAGAGATGACAACACAGGGAGAGACTGAGGGTCTGCTGTAAACATCCCTCAGCTCACCAGTATGTCTGGACCAGTGACTGTGGACCTCAAAGTCCCTGCTCATTACACAATCCCAGACTGTCTCCTTTCATAACTGCCCCCTCCCTCGCTTTGGCTGTTCAAATGGATGTGCAGGGCAAGGTTGCCTGATGTTTTGAAACCTGGCAAAGGCCCAAAGCTGGTGACAGAAAGCAGCCAGAGTAGTCAGGGCAGCTCCTGGCACCCACCCAGCCCTTCTGCCTTCAGATCCCAGCATCTGAACAGGGAGGGGTGGGAGAGGCCAGTCCTGAGGAATGGCAGCCTCTCCCCTTCAACAGGGTGTGTCCCCACTCAGGTAGGAAGGGATGTCTGCTTGGAGGGGAGCCTGGCACCACACACCTTGCCTATCTGCCTGGGTGGTGGTGTTTGCTGGGGTGCCCTCTACCACCTGAACAGAAGAGAGAGTGTGTGGTGAGAGCTGCCTAGGGAGGGATCCCTAGTTTCTAAGAGTCAAGGAACAAGATGGCAAAGCAACCCACAGCCTAGGGGTCTGAGAGGGCTGTTCCCATGCACCCTGGTGGGGAAACGCAGGGCAGAATAGGGGGGATGCCAACTGGGAGAGTCCAGTCCCCTTTACTGCCACCAAAAATACTGTGGAAGGAGAACAGAAAGGAGTGAGTTTTGACTAAGCTCAAGATTATCAGAATAAAACAAAGGAAGTGGCTAAAACGTTGTGGAATTGGGCCCTGGCCAGTTTACTCAGTGGTTAGGGCATCGGCCCATGGACCTGAGAGACCAGGTTCGGTTCCTGCAGCTTGTACCTGGCCTTGGTTGGGGTCATGTGGTTAGCAACCACTCGATGTGTCTCTCACATCTATGTTTCTCTCTCTCTCTCTCCCTCTCCCTCTCTCTTCCTCTCCCTCCCTTTCTCCCTCCCGCTCTATATGGAAAAAAAAAAAGGGGGTGGAATTGGGCCAAAGTGTTAAGGGAGCTCCTTCCAAATGCAAAATATGGCTGGCGGACAGGTATGGGAACAAGCAAAACCATTTCAGGGGAAGGCTTCTTAATAAATGGGTTCCACACTCTTTGATGACAGTGGATTTCTGACCCTGCCTCCTGCCTCCCTCCCCCCCCCCTCAAGGGAAGTCCTGAACGCAGCAGGCCTTTGGGGAAATAGATGCTCTACCACTCTTACTCGACACACCCTTTAGTTTGATTATTTTGCTCTGACCCCCTTTGCTCAAACAAACATTCCCTACGGGCTTTCAGAGATGTCCGGCCATCTGCTTGCAGCTCCCCTGAAGCTTTGGCCTTTGCCGCTGGGTCAGTGCCTCCTAATAGACAGAGCATCTTCTCCTTTTGGGAGAAGGCAAAGTAATGTCCACACACTATTCCTACCAAGCATCCTTCCTGCACGGTGGCTGGGGGAGGACCGCACACAAAGCTGGGCTCCCTCGCAGCCACAACAGAGGGGACTCTGTCAGTTTTCTGCAGCGGCACAGAGCCGGGGATCACCAAGAAGAGAGACTGGAGGAGGGTTCTAGGGCAGAGCCTGATAAAGAGGACATGGGGCAACATGGCAAACAGTGTCCTGGGTGTGGTAGTTGGGGTGGCTTTCTCAGTCCCCATTTCACCCTAAAGGGTTAGTCCGACCCTCTCAGTGCTTTCTCAGTCCCCACATCAGTGACTGCTGGGTGATGAGCTGTAAGAGGTGCCCTAGGAGTGAGGTGCTAGGAAAGGCTTTCTTGCCTCTAAGTCTAAGAGATGGACTCTCTCTGGATGTGCTCTGTGTGTGTGTGTGTGTGTGTGGGGGGGGGGGATGAGGCCTCCAAGGAGCGGGGAAGGTTAGGGCCAGTGAAGTAGAGCTTCCCCATGGACCTCTCTTATGTGAGATGATAAATGTACTTCTTTTTAAGACCCCTGAAAAGTAGAGTTTCCATTACTTGGAGCTGGAAGCATGGAGTCTTCCAATTAATAAGCACAGCTTCTCCTTTTTTTTTTTATCCTCACCTGAGGACATTTTTCCATTTTTCGTTCAGATAGAGTGGGAAGGAGAGAGAGAGAGAGAGAGAAACATCGACGTGAAAGGGACACATCGAGTGGTTGCCACCCGCATGACCCAACCAGGGCCGGGGATAAACTGCAACTGAGGTACGTGCCCTTAGCAGGAACCAAACCCGGGTGTCTCTGGACCTCAGGCTGATGCTCTAACCACTGAGGCAAACCGGCGAGGGCTCTATTTTTTAGATCTTATTTAATTTCTCTTTATTGTGCTTTGTAATTGTTGGCAGAAATGTCTTGATCTATTTCATTAAATTTATTCCTATTTTGTAGTTTTGTTGCTGGGCATATTATATTAGACATATTTCTCATTTCCAGTGCTCTTTGCTCCTTTTTGTAGATCTGAATGTTTATCTGCTACCATTTCCTTTCAGTACAAAGAACTTTTAGCATTTCTTCTTGTTCAGGACTATTGGAACAGAGGCGCTAAGGTTTCATTTATATGAAAATGTCTTTATTTCAACTTCAATATTTTTTTTGTTTTGAAACATTTTTTTATTTTATTTTTGTTACAGATGTTTCTCCTTTTTCATCCCATTGACATTCTACTCCCCATCTCCCCACCCCATCCCCAGTTTTGTTGTCCATGTCTATTGGTTATGCATACATGCATATAAGTTCTGTGGTTTATCTCCTCCCTCCCCCCCTCACCCTCTCTTCCAAGGTTTGTCAGTCTGAACCCTACTTCCACGTCTTTGGGTCTACCCTATTCCTCAGACTGTTATGTTCATTATATTCCACAAATAAGTGAGATCATATGAAATTTGTCTTTTTCTGCTTGGCTTGTTTAGATTAGGATAATATTTTCTAGGTCTCTCCATGTCATCTCAAAGGATAAGAGATCTTTCTTTCTTACAGCTGCATAGTACTCCATTGTATACATGTACCACTGCTTTTTTATCCATTTGTCTACTGATGGACACTTGGGCTTTTTCCAGATCTTAGCTATTGTAAATAGTGCTGCTATGAACATGGGGGTATATATATTCTTTCTGATTGGTGTTTCAGGCTTCTTAGGGTATATTCCCAGAAGTGGGATCACTGGGTCAAATGGCAGTTCAATTTTTAATTTTTTGAGGTAACACCATAGTGTTTTCCATAGTGGCTGCACCAGTCTGCATTCCCACCAGCAGTATACTAGAGTCCCCTTTTCTCCACACCCTCACCTACACTTGTTTGATGATTAGTTGATGGTGGCCATTCTGACAGGTGTGAGGTGATACCTCATTGTTGTTTTAATTTGCATCTCTCTGATGATTAGTGATGTTGAGCATTTATTCATATGTCACTTGGCCATTTGTATGTCCTGTTTGGAGAGGTGTCTATTCAGCTCCTCTGCCCATTTTTAAATTGAGTTCTTTCTCTTTCTTTTGTTGAGTTGTATGAGTACTCTATATATTTTGGAAATTAACCCCTTATCTGATATATCATTGGCAATGATGCTCTCCCATACAGTGTGTTGCCTTTCCATTTTAATGATTGTATCTTTTGCTGTGCAGAAGCTTTTGAGTTTGATGTAGTCCCACGTGTTCATTTTCTCCATTGTTTCTGTTGCCTTAGGTGATGTATCAGTGAAAATTCTGCTGCGTATGATGTCAGAAATTTTGCTGCCTAGATTTTCTTCTAGGATTTTTATGGATTCACGGGTCACATTTAAGTCTTTTATCATTCTGAGTTTATTTTTGTGTATGGTGTAAGTTGATGGTCTAGTTTCATTTTTTTGCATGTAGCTGTCCAGTTTTCCCAACACCATTTATTAAAGAGGATGTCTTTACTCCACTGTATGCTCTTGCCTTCTTTGTCAAATATTAATTGAGCATAATGTCTTGGGTCCATTTCTGGGTTCTCTGTTCTGTTCCACTGGTCTATATGCCTGTTCTTGTGCCAGTACCAGGCTGTTTTGATTACAGTAGCTTTGTAGTATAACCTGATATCTGGTATTGTGATCCCACCTACTTTGTCCTTCTTTTTCAATATTGGTGTGGCTATGCAGGGTCTTTTTTGGTTCCATATGAACTTTTGAAGTATTTCTTCTAGTTCTGTGAAATATGTCGTTGGTATTTTGACATTGAATCTATAGATTGCTTTGGAAAATATGGACATTTTAATGATGTTAATTCTTCTAATCCATGAACAAGGTATGTGCTTCCATTTTTTTACATCTTTCTCTATTTCTTTTTTCCAATGTCCTGTAGTTTTCTGCAAATAGGTCTTTTACTTCTTTGGTTAAGTTTATTCCTAGGTATCTTAATTTTTTTGCCAGGATGGTAAAACGGATTTTTTTTTTTTTTTAGTTCCTCTTTCTGTGAGTTCATTGGTGTATAAGAATGCCATCGATTTCTTGACGTTAATTTTGTATCCTGCTACTTTTCCAAATTCATTTATTAACTCTAGTAGATTTGTGATGGAGTCTTTCTATGTATAATAGCATGTCATCTGCAAATAATGACAGTTTTACTTTCTCCTTTCCAATTTTCTTCCTGTCTGATTGCTGTGGCTAAGACTTCCAGTAGTATGTTAAATAAGAATGGTGAAAGTGAGCATCACTGTCTTGTTCCTGTTCTTAAGGGAAATGTTTTTAGTTTCTGCCCATTGAGTATGATGTTGGCTGTAGGTCTTTCGTATATGGCCTTTATTATGTCAAGATATGATTCCTCTATTCCCACACTGCTGAGCATTTTTATCAGAAATGGATGCTGCATTTTGTCGAATGCTTTTTCAGCATCTATTGATATGATCATGTGGTTTTTATTCTTCATTTTATTTATGTGGTGTTTCACATTTATTGATTTGCAAACATTGTACCAGCCTTG